AAAACATAGGAAAATATAATGTTTAAATGGATAAGAAATGAAACATAGCACCTTATCCAGAGGACGGTTTAGTCTTTGAAGTTAGCATTTTTGCCTTCTACTCTCGTTCCAGCATCTAATCATGGTCCTGAGATGAAAGTACTTCCTTGAAATCACATGGCAAGGTTGGCAGTGATGCTGCTGTTCTTCACTTGGTCCTTATCTGCCTGCCCAGGATTTTAATATAGAGAGATAAAATGAGACAATAACAGGTTCTTTCTTTCTTTTAACAGAGAAAGGATTGTTTTTCTATTGCCACCCAAAGGTAAAATTGGTCTTCACTAAGCAAGGAACAAGTGATCAAATGTGTGTGGGAAAAATTACTACATAGGCCCTCCAGAAAACACAGCTCTTGTTTATGTAGCAAAATTTTAGAAAGATTTTCAAGATTTATTTTCATTGTGATGCTTATAGGATAAGATAGTCTTGTAAGCATAACTGTGGTTCTTTTGATAGTCTCTTCAAATATATAAATCCCTGCTTCAAAAATAACCTGAAAAGAAAACGACTCTGGGTTACATTTAGTGGAGTGGCAGCAAAATGCCTATCAAACACTCATCTCTTGCTCTTAATGGTATCTAGAATCTCTAAGTCAAGAGAGAGGAAATTTATAACTCACAAAGGCATATACATGCACAGGGTTTGATGATCTTGAGACATAATCCCTTTGAATAAATAGTTTTCAAGAGAAAACCTTTAGAAAAAAATCCCTTATTTTTCCCCCCAAAGAAAATACTGAATTATTATACTTAGGAGAATTTTCAATCAACTAGCGTTCCTACTCAATTAAGTATTTGTCTAACATTCTCTCTTCTCGTATTCTGGAAACCAACTTGATAGCCTTGCAGTACTTTATATACAGGCAGCTGGTCTTTCTATTGTAGCATCTTTCTTCTTATAAATCTTCCATCAGTCCAGACAAGCAACATCTGAATTAACACCTTTGAATCACTTTAAGTCTTAATTTTGTCTGTCACTGTGGATGGTTCAGATGCAGTCATATATTTATTCATATCCCTGGGAAGACCACTTTAAAGTTTCCAGCCCAATTTGGTATATGCAGCTGTGCAGAGTCTTACATAATCCAGTGGCCCTTGCTGATGGTCATAGCTAAAGTCACATCACTGTCTGTTAAAATTCCTCACTGGTGTGATATGCCAAATTTTTGGTGTTTTATGTCATGGGGATTTTATATCTTCTTTTTGCCTCAATCTTTTCTTCTGGCTTCCCAGCCTTCTCCTTATATTTAAAAGTATAGTGTCAGACACTAAAATCAGACTCTGCTAAGAGGACTTTGGACAGTCTTTGTACTTCTCAAAAGTATAGTCAGGTTTGGTGTCTATTCTTTTGAACATAATAGGGCATGTCCTTTGATCTTACTTGAAATAATTTCTGTTGCCGTGGGAAGAAATGGGCTTTAGAATCAGAGACCAACTTGAATTTAAACTCTAGCTCCATCACTTACTAGCTGCAAGTTGCTTAACCTCTTTGTTTCTTCATCTATAAAATAGAGATAGTGACCGCCTCATGGTAAGGTTGTGAAAAATTAAATGAGAAAACATGTTAACTTGACTAGCACAATACCTGGCCCATGGTGAACATGCAATGATGTTAGTTCTTCTCTTATTTTACTGATGTAGGAAATAAAATTCTGGACTAGACAATGGGTCTGGTCAAGTGGGCCACTTATGTTCTTTCCAAACATGACTTTTCAGTTTTTGAATAGCACAAGGCAAAGCAGAAGTTCTCAAGTCATTTGGATTTATTTAGTATACTTTCAGCAAGTTTTTACTAAACATCTATTACATGCCAAAAACTGTACAAGAGAGATACGGAGCTAAATAACATAGTAAATCCTTATCTCCCAAGGAGCTCATAGTCTAATGGAAAAGACAGATGACTAAACCAATAATGACAGGGTACAATGGGAACAAAAGAGGAATGGTTTCTAAACATACTTTAGACAGCCAGGGAAAACTTCCAGAAGAACTGACACTTGAGCTGAGCGTGGACTTCCAGACAGAAGGAACAATGTTGACAATATTTACAAAGGCATGGAGGCAAAAGAAAGCATGCTCTGTTCTAGGAACTGCAAATAGTTTTGAATTAATGGAGAGAAGGGTGTATGTGGAGGTGGAGCAGAGTGAAGCTGGAGAGGGGGTAGGAGTCAAATTTTAAAGTATTTTCTGTGTCTTACTAAGGGATCTGAACTTTAAGCAGAAGGCGACGGAGAACCACTGAAGGGTTTTAAGCTGCAAAGTGGAATTGCAATGTTTCATTTTAGAAATAGACACTTTAGAAGCAGAATAGAGGATGCATTCAAGGAAGGTTTGGGATGAGAAAGAAGAAGGAAGAGAGGAAAGAAGAAAAACTGTTTAGGACGTTTGTAGTAAGCTAGGTGAGGTATTATAAGAGCCTGAATGAAGATAGTTAATGTGGTAACAGAGACAAGCAGATACATAAGGGAGATATTGAAGTGGAATACAGATGACCTAACGATATAAATCTATGGGGGGTGGTGGATGAGTGTAAGGAAGGCATTGAAGATGATTCTCAGGCTGCTTGCGTGGAAGGCTGGATGGATGATGGTGCCGTTTACCAATATAATAGAAGTGATGGAGAAAGTTCAGGTGGGCTGGTGCAGGCAGCAGCTGAGATGAGTTTAGTTTGGGGCCGATTGCATTCCATATGCCTGGGAGGATGGCCAGTAAGTAGTTGGCTGTGTTGTCCAAGAGATCTGGACAACAGAGCCAACTGGAGAGGTTGATATGTGAGAGTGCTGTAAATGGTAGTCCAGCCCCACTGTTATCAGTTTTCCTTATATTTCCAATGACTAACACATATTAGGTGATCAGTAAATATTTGTTGAATTGATATTACTGTGGCTACAGCTTCTACCTTTGGTCTCCTCTGTATATGCTTTGAAAAAAACAATTGATCTATCTAATTTTACTCAGTGGTAGGCAACTTTGGGCCAGATGGTGCTAGCTTAAGCAATGTTTAATTCACAAATGGCTTCTTGATGACAGACCACCACCTATCACTTGAGCAGACTGGTGTAAAATTGGCTCTTACTTGATTATCTTAGGTATTTTCCTTGTTATTAATCAGCCTTCTCAGCTGTGAAAAAATTATTTTGCGAAGCCATGAAGTTTCTCTCCGTGTGAATGGGTTTGGATATGCTGTTCACAGTGCTAGAGCTAGCAAATAGCAATTTGAGAAAGCCTAGTTGTTTATTACCAACTGATCTATTTTTGGACAGCTCTATAACAGTTTGTGCCTTACAGATAAGTGCCTTACAACGTAGTACAGAGTGTTAATAGTGTAACTACAAATTCATTCTAGTGTCCCCAGGCCCTAGAGCATTATAGGTGGTCAGATAATGTTGGTTGAATTAAGTGAATGCATATGGTACTTTAGAATGTACAAAGTGCTGTCATATAGATTATTGTATTTGATCTTCAGAACCCTATGAGTCAAACCAGGTGTTATTCTCATTTTAAATATGAGGAAATTCATATACTTTTAGCAAAAGTATTTTATGTATCTCTGATACATTGCAGAGAGAGACGGTTTCTGTTGTCATCTCTCAATTCCATTTTTCATGTCCTTAGTAATTTTCATAATCAGTCAATGAAAGACCTGCCTAATCTGATTCAGTGTATACCACTTTGAGATGCTCTTGAGTTGACTGTTTCAAGATGGCTTAGAAGTAAAGTTGGCCTGAAGTTTTTGAGTGCTGTGCATCTTTTCTTGCCTTAGTAGAGCACTGGTTTATATTGATCACACTGTAGGTTGGTTTACAAGTTAAGGAGCAGCAGTGATTTTTTTTTTAAATATAATACATATAACATGATTTGAGTACTAAAATGTGTAAGCTGGTCCAAGCATATGTCGTTTACTCTAGGAACACCTTTTCAAAAGAATCCCTTTCTGTTATTAAGTTCTATGTAGTGTGTAATATGGTAAATTGATCTTACCAAAATTTCAGGCCTCGGTGGCTTATTTACAGCTTCCTGTTGAGCACATGCAGATGTTACTTTTCGTGACATTTGGCTTCTGTTAGGTTGTGCGTCTTTCAAATGGCTCTTCCTCTTTTCCTACTAGTGTGAATTCCTTCTCTTCTTCCACCTACAGCACCTCTCTTTAAATTTTAGGAATAGGTCCATCTACTGTGATGTTATCTTCTCATCCACATTCTCTTGGAAGTACTTATTTTAGATCTATTTTTCCTGTGGTGTGAGGCAGTTAGGCCAGGAGGGAACTCTCTGTGTTTCCAGGATTTATTTCTAAGGGTTGGAGATGTTGTGTCATTCATCTGTGAAGAAATACATCTCAGCTGCTGGATCACTTTTATTCTGTTTACAAAGAAATTTCACTATTTTTGATATTACATTTAATTCCATGACAATGATTGGATTAAGTCTGTGCTGGACGTACTCAGCTTCTATATCCCTGCCAACCAAAGTCTAGATTTTACCTCCAGTAGGGGCTAGTATGATGATACATGTGGCTTGGAGAAATGAAACATTTTTCAGCCTGATCAGGCTCCTCAAGAATATGTTTTGTTTGACTCAAATTGCATTGTGCCCTGTGCATAGTAATGAGTTAGGTATTAGGAATGGCAAAATAACTCCTTTAAGTGTGAAGACTGTGTGTTACATGGGGAAGACCATAGTAATATGAAGTGCTTGGTACTGTGTGAGGCACATCAAAATTATTTCTCGGAATAACAATGTTCTAAAAATATGACCAAAATGAGCTTGGAACTGCTTAAGCTGCTAACGTGTTTAGTGAACAGCAGTTCTTCCGTTTGACCAGGTCAGGAGCTAAGATTCTTGGTTTATATTAGTATTAATATTTTTGAGGCCTCTTAAAAGTCATTGTTGATTCTCAGAGTTCCCTATATTTCCCACTTATTCCTAATCTTCTTGCTTTTGTATGTGTTCATTCATTTGTAGAATATAAATGGCATTCGCACAGAGGAGGTGGCTGCTGTGACAAAGGGGCCATCTACCAACCCTGACTCAAAATGGGAGGGCCCCAAGCATTCAGTAATTTCTAGTAAGAGCCAAATGACCACCCCGTCGGAGTCTCCACAAAGCTTTGACTTTGGCTCCCTCTCCATAAGCAGCAAAGAGACAGAAGAGACGGAGCAGGGGGCAGCTGGCTATCTTGATATTAAGGAAATGCCAACAGTCCCGAGTGGGGAATGTATGGGAGTGGAGGAACAGGCCAGTGCCTTAAAGTTCTCAGTGTCACCGGCTTCCTCTCAGCTGCAACTTGGTGAAAAAAAGGCAGAGAGTAGTGAAGAACATGTTACACCAGGAGAGCCACTTGGGAAGCAAAATGGATCATTTCTTGCCTCTCGTGTGGGTAACCAGTTCCCCACCCTCATTCGAAGTTTCCAGGTAGTAACTGACTCAGTGATACAGGTCTACTGACTCACTTTGGGAGAGGGCCAGAATCTGTTCTGTGGAGGAGGTGGTGGTGGTGGTGAGGGTAGTAGCCTCTGCTTTGTTCAAAATCACAGAATAAAATTGAAGCTCTTGACTACTACAAAGAAATTTATTCAGAGGAATTAACTCCATGGCTAGCAATGCTTTCTCCCCTGATGACTTAACAAAACTCTTGGGGATAAACTCTAGCTGTTTGTCCTTAGGAAGCTGGTGTAAGTGTGTTCCTCTTTTCCTTGCTCAAGTGTGGGCACTGTAAAGAGGTGAATTTCTGAGACTTCGATGATGAGGAGTTTTCAGTGTTCTGAGACCATGCGCAAAAAATTCAAATACTCTTAATTAAAAGGGGTAACTGATTTTTTTATGAGATTTCAGGCCCCAAATAATTATTTATGTCTTGCAGCCACATAGTACAGCCCACCACTCCCACTGACCCCACTCACAGGGGCTTCCCTGATCATAGGCACTAATCTCCTATGATGAGGTGGATGGCCACTTAACTTTATCACAATCAAATGGTAGTTTTAGGGTGATTTATAGTCTTGGGGAAGGTGAGCTGATGGACAAGAAGCTTTTGATATTCTACTAATGTTCATTCTTCTGAAATTCTGAAATTAATCACCAGGTGGTGGTAGAACTGATTATTTTCTTTCCAGTTTTCCAAATGCTGTTTCTTCTCAATAACTCCAAAGTGAATGTCTGACATTGATTTGAAAGAAGTTAATGAATTCCAGGGTAATGCATTCCAATGCCACTGCTGTTTCGTGTACCATTTGTACTTAGTAGAGGAAATGTGGCTTATTTTCTTAATTGTAATGGTACAGTCACAAAGACAAACAAAAATGACTGCTATTTGGCAAATAGTTTTATGTGCAAATTCTGAAGGTCAGTCTGAAGTGGTTTATATCACCAGTCCTAACTGTCTGATCTTACAGCTTTCCATTAAGCATATGAAAGTGATTACAGTAATGCTGTTCTTTAATATTCCCTCCTGATCTGACACCTTGTCAGGGCTACTTTGGAACAGTGTCCAAGTCTTGGGCAGGGATTGAGCTAGGCCTTTGCTTGATTACAGCTATCACTTTGATCAGATCAATGTCAGAAGCTTAGATCTCCACAGCCTTCAGAAGACTCCGGTAACTGTATTTCATTACTGCTTCACAGCCTCCCCTGGTGAAGACTCAGACTGTCACCATCTCAGATACTGCCAATGCTGTGAAAAGTGAAATCCCAACCAAAGACGTCCCCATTGTCCACACTGAGACCAAGACCATCACTTATGAGGCTGCCCAGGTAGGACACGGTTTGATGTTTCAGAACCAAAGACTGAGTAAACACAATAAATAACCTTTCTTCACAGGGTTTCTAATCATTTGCTACCAATAATGCTAGGCTTTTCTGGGGCAGTTCTTTTTAGAAGAGATTACTGATCTAAGGGTGTCCCAAAACACTTTATTAAAAGCAAAATTGTCTTGGATCTGATTGCTTATATCCACCCAATTCAGTTAGGTAGGCCAGTCTAGTATAATGGTTAAGATCATGGGCTTTGGGCCAAACAAACCTGAGTTCAGGGCCTGGCTCCTCCATTTACTAATGTAAACAACTAATTGAACATCTCTGAGCCTTGATGCCCCACCTCCACCCCACGTGATGTTCATATCTACCTCATGATTTTGTTTTGAAGATTATATAAGGTACAGTACTATATGGAATCAACGTGAGCACCGTGCCTGAAAGCATAACTAATTACAGATATAATAATTATAATCAATTTATTACAATTAAATTAAATTTAAAATCAGATAAGAATTCAAGTATTTAAAATTTTTGTTTACCTCCTACTTTTAGTAAAATTTCTCCTTCATTGTTGGTAATTTGAGTGAGCTAGAGTTGCTTATGTTGAATTGCTGTTTTTTTTTATTTTTTTGTTCACAGAAGCCAAAAGTAAGAAAAATCTTTCCCTTTGTAAACTGAGCTATTAATTCATTCCTGCAACAAATATTTGTTGAGCATTTATATATCTGGCCTAAGCAGTGTACACGTCAGAGACAGGCCCTACCCTCTGGAACTTACATTTTAGTCAGAACAGACGGGCTGTTAAACACATAAACAAATGTATACATTTCACACAATGATAAGTGCCATGAAGAAACTAAAATAGGGGCCAGCCCGATGGTCTAGTGGTTAGGTTCAGCACACACTGCTTCGGCGGCCCAGATTTGGTTCCCAGGTACAGACCTACACCACTCATCTGTTAGTGGCCATACTCTGGTAGCGGTTCACATACAAAAAGAGGAAGATTGGCAGCGGATGTTAGCTCAGAGTGAATCTTCCTCAGCAAAGACAAAAAAAAGAAAGAGAGAAAGAAAGAAACTAAAATAGGATAAAGAGTTAGACAATATGGGATTGCATGAAAGGTTGCTACTTTGGGGCTAGAATAGTCAGGAAAATCTGCTCTGAGGAAGTGACTTTGGCTGAAACCTACAAGATGGGAAGGAGACAGCCACGTGATGCTCTGGCTGGGTGATTTCACCTCAATTCTTTCATTTACTCCTCACATCGCCATGAACTGGATGATGATATCTCCCTGTAGGAAACAGTGTAGCTTGCCAATTAAAAGCATGTGCTTTGCAATTAGACAAAATTTATATCCCAGCTCAACCATGTACTAGCTGGATAACTTTATTTATTTATTTATTTTTTTTTTAAAGAGAATTTTGAAGATTTTATTTATTTTATTTTTTTCCCCCCAAAGCCCCAGTGGATAGTTGTATGTCATAGCTGCACATCCTTCTAGTTGCTGTATGTGGGACTCGGCCTCAGGATGGACGGAGAAGTGGTGCCTC